TGGTCTGCAGACCAGGGGGACGGGGGGGGAGGCAAAGCAGAGCAAAGCAGAGCCAAGCCGCGGAGCGCGTGGGCAGCGGACAACCCTGTCCGCTGCCCACGTGTTCCGCCGCTTTGCTTCCTCTCCCTGGTCTGCTGGAGACCAGGGAGAGGAACGGACCCGTTCGTAATTGCGGATCTGGCATAAGTCGGATCTGCGTAACTCGGGGACTGCCTGTAGTTCTGAAACAGTAGCCACTATAGTGTTAATGGCTAATGCTATAGTGAACTAGTCACACACAACCAGCCAAATAACCACATTGTTCAAGCCAACTAGTCATATTCAACCAGTGAAATAGCCACATGTGGCTAGTGACTAGCATGTTGGACACCACAGATTTTGAATATTTGAGTGGAACTACAACGAAGACACCTTTCTGCAGTCAAATCAGGAATACATGCACCAGTTAGCACCTTGCACTGTCCCATCCTCCGTTCCCAACTATTCAATATGAACAGAACTTAGCTCAGTTTCATATATGCCTTGCAAGAAAAAGCTGGGGATTTTCAATGTTTTCAGACGACTTTCAAATATCAATGGTATAAGAGCCCTTACTACAAAGATCACAACGTTTCCATTATTTCCTCTTTAAAATAATCAACCCCTGGAAATAAATAGCATGCTGCCACACTGAAAAAGCTGTTCTATTCTAGATACCTTTTGTTACTTCATTATTTTGGGGGTGTTTCTGAGTGTCTTGTGGCACTCATGATCTATTCCCAGCAATTTTTTTCAAAAAGTTGCAAAAGGCTGCAAGCCTAAAAAACATATTTTATATGGCTTTACAAAACTGTTTTCGGGGGGGAGGGGGGAGAGAGGAGGAGGTGAAATTTAAACTTGGCATATACTAGAATTGTGTGTGGAATGAGGAACAGTTTTGCTGCTATATTTAAAAGACGTTTTGTTTTGAAATAGTTGCTACCACTTGGAAGTTGGGTGATGAACATGTGCAGAACATATTCATTTCAGCATAAAGTGGAATATGCTGAACAGTCTCACGAACTTTATTCGATTATTCACAAACTCTGATGGTGAATTCCAAAGATTTTCTCTCTGACAGAAAAAGAATCTACAAAGAATTAGACTCTAACTTACAAAAAGCACTACTTACCATTTCCTACAACAACACCTCTCTTTACCTTTTGACTTTACCAATTTTCCAGTGATGTAAACACATTTAAAGCCAATGATATAACTAAAAAGGTGCTGAAGGTGTACAGGTATAATCTTTAGGGGGTAGCCAAGTTAGTCTGTACAAGATAAACTAAAAAAAACCAAATAGTCTGATAGCATTTTAACAAAACATGTAGATCGTATCATGAGCTTTTGTGTTTTGTCCATTCAATTAAAGCTCTTCTGAAAAATTACTGCCCTATGAATGAAGTTCATGCCTGAAACAAATGAAGTATGCAATCACAAGTCTACATTTGGAGTCACATGTACTGTGTTCAACTCATTATTTCATATTATATGTTTTAGTTCACATACAGTTCTTATTCTTCAGCTACTATTATTTCAACTGCTTGTATACTGTGAGTTTTTTCTTCTCGAGAAAACCAAAACTTAGATGTTGCAAGATCTTAGAGGAATTTGCTTTTAAAAAGAACAGCATACTTCAGACACAAATATCCCCACAAACAAAAAATAGTTTGAAAGCATAAAGCTAATTTTAATACAGCAGTTTTAATAATGTTGGCAAGATATGATGATGGTAATTGTTCTGACTTAAAGCGTTTCTGAATTATGTTAGACCAGAGGTGGAGAACATCTTTTGGGTCGAGGGCCGTTGACCCACAGAAAAGTCAGTTGGGGGCTGCATACAAGTGTGGAGCCTCTGATTGAGAAGGAAAAGACACTCTACACATTCCCCTTTGCACATCAGAGTGTATGGGGGCCCAGGCTAGTAGATTTTGTGTGCTCCAGCCCTGCAAGTGGGTGGCACAGGGGCTGCAGCACCAGTGTGGGCTCCCCAATGCTGAGGGTTGGTGGCTAGATCCAGGCAAGCTGGAGGCTGCATTCGACCCGTGGGCCTGAGGTTCCCCATCCCTGTGTTAGAGGGATCAAACATATTCCCCCAGCACACTAGAAATGTAACAACTCCTTAATTCAACTGACAAAGTACACAATAGAATTTTGGCTGAAAAATCATCTTGTACATGTAAGTCTAAAACAGGAACAAGTGTATTTGGATAAAAAACACATTCAGTATTAAATATATAACTACTGAGTTTAAGAGAATGTTAAAAAACATTTCATGAATAGCTGTGGTATTTCATGTAAATAGCATTACAAGCTACTAAGCATATATTGGTTCCCATCAAAATGTATCAACATATAAATCACTCCCAGGAACCTATCCAAAGAAGGTAATGGCCCACTCATGTGAGCAAAGTAAAACACACCCAACTCTGTAATTTTCCTATCCAATAACTACTGTTTATTACATGTTAAACAATAGAGTCCTGTACTGTCTCATCATTGTGCGGTGCCAACGCGGTGCCAACCTATTTAAATAACTTCCTTAAAGGAACTTTGCATTATCATTACAGTGTTTGTAATACAGATACTTAAATACATCATTCAGGTTAAAATTGTTCATTTCAAACATGCAAAAATTAGGTCTTCAGTGGATTATGAGATAATGTACACTTTATTTAGATTTTCTTATGACTATTTTTTCATAGGGCCAAAGAGGGAAGACGTTGACATGACTGTTCCTCACATCCTTTTTCTATTTCAGGAGAACTTGAACAACTGTGGTTTTGACTAAGTGTATACAGAAGTATCAGAGATCTACTTCCGTTACTTTTAAAGTGGGAACATTGGTCAGAGTCACTCTTCAGTGCTGATAGTTTGCATTTGTATAAACTACACATAGATTAGTGACCATACACTTCTGGAGCTTATATAGTGTTTCTTTTCACCTCCCTTCCTTCCTTTACACTTCTAGCCCCAATCTCTATTAATAATTTCAAAACAGAATTGCTAAAAGAATACTTCTTGCCTACTGTTCTGACCGAATCAACCTCTTCTACTGTAACAAATTTAAAATTTTCATATTCACTTAGTGCTCTTCACAGCTCTGCCTCTATTGTCTGCTAATGGCTTATTGTTTTTTTGTCCCTTCTCTCTGCCAAAGATGTCAGCCTCAACAGTTCATCTCAGCTTCTCGCAAACACATTTGTATCTTCTTCCACATGTAGCAGCCTGACAAACACCTGCTCCTCCAGACACACCTCTGCTGCAAATCTTAAAATAACTAGCAAAATTAGGGCTAGGCTTTGGGGAAGAATGTTTGGCATTTTCCTCGCCCTCCTACCACTTATATTTAGCTTGTCTTCTTTGGCTATAGGTTCTTCAGGTCAGTGATTCTGTATTATGTATATGGTCTATCAAAAGAAGCTTTGACAGCATTTTAGCAATACAAGTAATAATATTCAAATTAAGAAATTACAGTTTAAGAATTGATACTTACAGTCATAATTAACTCAAAAGGGTGCTTATACACCCGCACAGGTGACTGATATTTCTGCACCATGGTTGCGGACTAATAAGACCTAGTCAGACCTGAAAAACAAATTTTAGAAATGTCATTGTCAAATGTGGGAGGCCAGTTTTACTGTTCAATGTTCTTAGCTTACAGGAGAGGTCTCTTACCCCATCTCATGTTCAGTATTGAGCTAAAACTTTTCTGCTGAGCTTATATCTGAAGTAAATTTTATATGCCACTATAAAATTATTTGATAAGAGTGTAAAATGCAAGTTCACTTCCAACCATACTGTCGGGTATGAGCAACTCTATGTATTTAAACAACAAATACTATATTTTAAGCAGTCCCTGAAAAAAGCAGCAAATTAGTATATTCTCATTCTACCATTTTAGCAACATGCTGTTGGGACACTTCAAAAACCACTATATTCTTCAAAGCATTGAGAATATAGGCAAATGCTATGAGATGCAAAACGATCTGTCCAGGTTAGTCATACGGTTCTCTACCATTGTACAAAACTCAGCAAATCTCATAACATGAAAGGACAATAACTGGAAAGGACAATTTAAAACAATTAAGAAACAAAGCCCTGAATTGCGTAGACTAATAATGTTGAAAATCCCAAAAGTTTCAAATTTCTGCTTTTTCCTCTGAAATAATGTATTGTGACTAAACAGAATTAGTTTAAAAAAAGAACAAATGGTCTGGTAGCACTTTATAGACTAACAAAACATGTAGATGGTATCATGAGCTTCTGTGGGCACATTCCACTTCTTCAGATGACTGATCATCTGAAGAAGTGGGCTGTGCCCACGAAAGCTCATGATACCATCTACATGTTTTGTTAGTCTATAAAGTGCTACCAGACCATTTGTTGTTTTTTTCTGTACAGACTAATTCGGCTACCCCCTGAAGCTTCTAGAATTAGTGTAATCTTCATTATTTTCAGGCATGAAAGGAATACAAAGCACTGATGGAACAACCAATTTGTTGATGAAGTAAGAGGAAATAAATCTTAAGTAAACTATGGATATGTTAAATACACACATGGACAAATTCACTGCTGGCATAAACAAAACCAATTACATCCACTTACACCAGCAATGAATTTGGTTCATCAAGTTCTTCCTTGAATAATGATAGAAATGTAGCCGTGTTACTCTGATCTGAGGAAGTGGGTCTGGCCCACGAAAGCTCATCATCTAATAAACCATCTTGTTAGTCTTTAAAGTGCTACATTGTCCTGCATTTTGTTCCTTGAATAAATTACTTGTAATTAAAAAGACTAGTTTCAGTACTAAAGAAAGAAAATATTGTCTGACAGCCAGATTTAAGACATACATGCAATTTTAATTTATTTGAATAAACACAGTCACATTTGCCCTTAATAACAATACACTCTTACAGTGATTATATTAATTTGAAGTTGATGAGTTTGTGGAAGTAACAGTACAGAGGACAGAAGTCTCACTTAACAGAAATGTGAAGCAACAGACGATAAAAAAAAATGAGGAGAAAGTCTGGCAAACGATTCTATTCAAGAGATGAATTTTGATTTATTTTAAAATAAAATATCTGAAAGTGCACTAATAAATAGATTTTATTTTTTAACTCTTAATTACAAATGCATTTTCTGTGGAGAATTTCAGTACCAATTCACATTACAGATTGGAATTCTGTAAAATATATGTTTTCCTGATTAGTTGAACTGACTTAATATCTAGATTTAAAAGAAAAGGCAAAATTTACAAATCTCCATAGAGACTAGACATAAAACAGAGGTCTCCCGGACACCAGCTAAGAGAGTTCTTAGTCTGTTTTTCAAAGAACGAACATGGCAATCTCATGTACATAATAACTCTCAAAGTAGTACCTTTTAAAGCCCATGGAAAACAGTTTCTATTGTTATAGATTTAATTAACAATTCAAATATATCATTCATTGCCTCTCCACTGAACCACTTTCAAAATATCAAAGGAATGTTAACAGCCTCTTTCAAGAGTTTTTAAGTTTTAAACTAGCAAATGTTTGATAAGATCGTGAAGACGAATCTGTGGGAGGGCTTCACCTGAAACAAAAGACACTTAACTATTTGACAAATGACTGAAAGCCACAAAACCTAGAGAACAGTAAAATAAATTGCACAGATGAGGAAGATTCTTCATCTATTCTCAAAATAGACATTTGAGAAAAAATTGCCCTAAATGAAAAGTGTCTTTGTGACTTTATCAAAGCACCTTTCCAAAACAAAATGTAGGTATAAATCAACAGACATAAATTTTTCAAAAGACAGCTACTTTCCCATCAAACTGAAAATCTCTCAAGAGAGGAAAAAAAGTATCTCAATTTTAGCAAAAGCTTGGAAAGATTTTCAAAGTAATAGTTTATATCTGACATTTTAGTGCTTCTGTGTATAGTGAAGAAGCTCTCTTAAAAGGAAGATAAGAATAATCTTTAAATTGGTGAAGGTATCAGTATGTTTCCCCCTTGGGCAGGGACTGTTTTCTGTAGATGTGGATATATTTCCCCCTTCCAGAAGCAGGAGGGGGGAGATAGAACACTTGCTAGAGCTAGACAGAAAAAGCTGGAGAAAGAAGTTTCTTGTTTATAATGTTCAATGGTAGAGCAAGGAGGAAGGCAAGAGATTACCCAAAACAAGGCAGGAGAGGAAAAAAAAGAGGAGAGGAAGAAGTGACAGAAGCAATCAGAAAAGAAGGGGAGAGAGTGTACCTTTGTTTCCCTTACAGAATGAAGATGGAAGCACAAGAGAGCAGCATGAATGCATAACAGAGAGCAGGGGATAAATGGGGAAGCTGAGAGGGACTGGGGAACAGAAGAAAACAGGGGGAAGCAGTAAACAGATTGTATGGGGAAGTTATAAACAGGGCGGGGGCCTGGCAGAAAGTACAGTAAGAAACCTATAAGATTTCAGGGATCCAACCAGAGCGAAGCAGCATGAAGGGGGTAAAGGAGTAAAAAGGGGACGGGGGGGAGAAAACAGGGCACCGGGAAAGTAAAAGGGGGTCGGCAGGGTCTGGGAAGCAGCAGCGGGCGCAGATGTAAGGGTATGGGGGGGAGGCAGGGGCACAGGACGAGTAGAGGCGATGCGGGAAGAAAGGGGAGCGAGCACCGGTGGGGGGCGGGGAGG